TTAATTACCTGATCAGATAATCGAGTTAATTTAATATAATAATAATAATGCAATATAAGTGCCCAACAGTTTAAAAAATGTACCATTAAAAAGTTATATAATTTCAAAAAAATCTACAGCTCCGCCATTGATACGTCTGTAATCATCATTGATCATCATGATACTAATTTTTAATAAAATTCAAATGATTTTTTACCGTAACGACTGCAGTGTTACTAATACAATTGCCAATGAACGGATGCCATTCTGTTATTCTATCGCAAGATAAAAAGAGGCCAGACAACACTAGTGAGCCAAGGATAAAATCTTCTCATATAATTACACAATAGTTTCAACTACACACAAAAGTGTGTTGAGCGTCTATATGCTGCTGTATATAGTTAATAAATACCTAGGAGTTGGCCTTGAGCAGCTGAGTAGAATAAGCTAATTGAGTTCATAAAAAATCAATGCTTTGCATAGGCGCTATACCGTGCGTAGTTGTTTTTTAGCTGAACGTTCATGTAGATCTGTAAGCCTAATATGAGGAAGTCAGCGGTACGCAATGGTTTTTCTCGTAACACGTTGCCTTCCACTGAATAGTAGTAGCGCCCTATTTTTTTTTTTATTTGAGTGTAGACGGTGACGACCATGAAGAAACATCATACGACTTTTTCCTTTAACGCGGTACTCTCTGACTTCAGTGACCTGAAATTTAGTTTCCTCAGATGGTAACTAACAGAAGTCTCTTTCTTATTGATTTCATCAATATACGAATAAATCAAACCTGAGAAATATCTATTTCTCATAGCCCGATGCTTCAAGTCCAGTAAACGTTAATATACCGATGAGACTTTAGACACAGAACATAGATTAACACTTTTCATTCATTAGGAAGACACAGAGCATAAGATGCCGATCATGCCATATACAAAATGTTTTTGTGTGAATAGAACAATGAAAAAACTTCTGGTGTAGCAGGGTAAGTTTACATTATAAACTTACTTACTACACTATAATGGCAAATGACGCAAAGGCTGACGTAGACATGTGGCGTTATTAGGGTTAGGAAACTAGAGACACATATCAGCTGTTCGTTTCTATGCTAATTTTTACCATTCCGATGTTATATTAATATAGCTTGTACATAAGTATGGAATCATTTAAGCAGAGACGAAGTAATCGCCGGCTGTTTCTGTGTGACGATCGTTTTTACTGAGCTATGGTACATGCGAAAATACTAGATACGACACATTTTTTCACAGTTCGGTTCGATTCTTGCTCAATAAGATTTTCACTATTATCAGTGTTACAGTTTACTATGGTCGTAGGCAGTGAAAGCATGTTTCGTTAAGACTAAGAAACTATTGGTTGGTAAGAACCTTCGGTACACCGCGGCTGTTGACTACTACAGTGGTCTCCATCGGGTTAGTGAAATGTACATCTTTTAGACGTTTCCGTCCCTGTCTTCTTTGGGCTGTTCGACAACGGCGATTACCAATGATAATGAACGAATGAATGAACTTGGTTGTATTCGAGGTTGCCGGGTGAGTGTCTAGTCGTAATACGCTTGCCCATAACCATCATCTAATCGAGGCAAACAAAAATATCCCTCTGCGAAATATATATTTATTTCTCTTCGCAAGATATTTAGGGGTGTTGGCAGTCTCCACTGGCAGTTAAAATATTTCTATAGTAGCAGACATGAAACGTAGCTGTCTACGTAATTACCTGCCAACTTTCCCTGGGAAGGGTTTTGCGTCAGAAGCTCTCCATCGTATGAACGGTTCCCGGTCGACCCAGAAATCAGTGTGCAAAAACGGCGAGTGGAAATAGATTGTTACTTCTATGAAAACGAAATGCGTAAAAGGTGCGCGCCTGAGGTTTTACGAAAAGCTTTCACAGTGTCCATTGGGATCAGCGCAATTTCCTCTGCAGAAATTCGTGGCACACAAGACGAAAGCCGTATAGACGTTATAAACAAGGCTCCTTGGCCAGAGGCTGCGACGTGAGCCTAAGGATCGGTTGAAACTAAAACAACCGCAGACAAACTAATCATTAATAGGCAATAAGAAAACCATTTTCGAGTACATCCATTACAAAAGGGCGTGAACGGAGTAGCCTTTGAAGTGTATATATATCACAAATATGTTGAAGTATACTAAAAAAAAAAACATATGAAGAACCATAACTAAACACCATTAATTGTAATCCAACATCGTAATATAAACTCAGAGAATTTTGCATGAAGTTAGAAATTTTTTTCTTTTCGTTCATTTTATAGGTTAGCTGACACTTTCCGATTCCAGGGATTAACACACTATAGCTGACACCCGATTTCGCTCAGAAGAAATCGATTATTTCCATGTAACCGACGGTACTAGTTTCATTCAATGTAATTTTTACTAGCTGAATCTGTATTGAATAAGGTCCTGTTCGTAATGATACTAGTAACATTTGCGACAGATGATTGATCGAACGGGATGCAACATATACCTCCTCTCATAACAAAAATTCTATAGAAATTCATAGAAATGAACGTGTTCCACAGCTTCATTTGATAATTTTGTTCGATCCTCCAAAATATTAATGATGTGCTGAACATTTTGTAAGGTTTATAGTAAAAGTTGTATAGTTTAATATAATGAGGCGATATATTTTTTAGCGATTGGCCGACGCTGATATTATCTAGCGACAAGTTATTTATTATATAAAAAAAAGTTAAAAAGATGGATAGTTAACTATTTTTTCCGCTGGTATCTCCACATTATTATTTACGTTTTGTTCCTTGGATGGATGTTGGACAAATCCAACAGAAATACTTTCAAACAGTCAAGTCGGTTTAAAAATCTCATCAATCAAATTTCATGAGTACGAGGCAAGAACAGATTACACAATACAAAAGTTCATTGCTCTTGCTGTTAAACCCTTACTTTTTCAATAACAGCTCGAGCGTGAGCATTGTCAAGTCCGGCACACGGACAAGCTGACAACGTTTGTTATTCTATCTGCTCAAATATGTCTGAAGTTCTGTTGGAGAAGAAATTCTCGAAAAAAAGCTAGTGCTTTGTTGTGGCTGTCAACAGAAGTAGTCCCTAGACGCTCCACTATATCCTTCTTCATGAGATAATCGTCTCCATCTACAGACTCGCACTTTCGTTCGGCAGACGTGAAATAATAGATGAGTGACGAGCCAAAACCTAAAGCGTGTCCCTGCAGTTTTAACATAAACCAGATCGTGTACACGCTATTATACAAATATTTAGGCTTGCGCAGAAATATTCGCGCATTCTACGTGTAAAGGTATACGGGATAAAACAACCTACCAATATATCTCCTACCAATACACCATGCTACGATATATAGGACCTACTCAGATAGAAGTGAGGCAATAATATTTTGTTGAAAACATCTCTAAAATAACCATTTCTAAATTGTCACAAGTATCGCGTTGGGTTAGGGTGTGAAAGTGTATTCGTACAAAAACTTTGAGCTAGACCGCACAAACGTCTGGTCGCATTAGAAGGGCCACTCTGGAGCCTTGCTTGAGCCGTTCTAAAGCTTGCCAATCCGATAGGACACTAGAACTGCCCCGAAAATACTGCTCCTGCTAGGCTGTTTTTCAACGAGACAGAATGTTATGGTAAAGACGTGACTGGTCTAACAGGCTGACATTAAAACTGTCAACAAATGTTTGCAAACAAAGAATTTGCAGTTCCAGTATCAGGGACGGCTTTTCATTGCTATAGTTAGAGATTGTGTTGTAAAAATAACCAGGGTATTTTATCGAGATGCTATTGTATTTATTAGTGGTATAAAATACCTTCTTCCAGGGAACGGTGAGGTAATCTCAGCAGAAGATATATCATAAATAACTTGGATAATGTTTCTTATTCTACTCAATTCGCAGGCCAGTCCCATTTTATGTCAGACAGACACGTCATTGATTAATCAGGTAGTAATAAAAATACATTAAAAACATACAGTAAAGGTCGTTGCAATTTTCTTATAAGCGTGCGCGCTTATTTTGGCCACCGTGAGGGCTAATAGTCCTGCTACAGTTCGGTCTGCAGCAGCTGATTTCACGTATTCTACGAATGAAAAAAACCCAGTGCATTAGAATGATAGTATTTGGATGCAATAGCTTTTTGACCCGACGACTGTTCAAGCCCATTTTAAACCGAAAGAAAAATACTTCGTTTAGCAGTAAAAGGCTACAATGAGATTTTTTTTCAGCAATTGCATTACTTCTTTTTGAGTGCTGGACAAAATTTTCTGGCCAAACTACTTATTGGTATTCGTTCCGTTAAAACGTTTTCCTTGCTTGAACGAAAATAGAGGAATTATACTTTTGCTATTTGACTTATGATATTTACAGATTTTACGCAATAAATACGCTGCAATGAACTTGTTGCGACCGCCATATGCAACCCTATATATAATATACAGTAACAAAAGTTAAAGCTTATGATCAAGGTGAGCGTCGTTGTATTTTGATAGAGATTTTCGATCTACCAAAAGGAAAACGTAGGAACGTTCAGATCGGCGCTGTCCGGAGGTTCCGTAAGAGATTGGCGGGGTCCTTACACTTTTGTTCATGTTTGAATCTCAATCAGCCCAATGACAATATGTAATGCACCTGCGCCAGTTGCTAGATAGAACGACAGAGCACAGAAATACATAGGACGAGCCGGTATTTTCGAGCCGGCGTTCGAGTGTAGCGGGAACCCTCTGGCTACACTAAACAATTTACGAGAGCTGCTTCCATTTTAAATACGATTAAAGCGTTTACACCCTGTGTACAGACGTACAAAAGGCACGCAACCTAGACTACTTCAGTCTCCCCACAGTAATACTTGACTTCTAGCATGGACGTTCGAAATTCCATTCGAGTACATCATCAGCCAGTCAGTCCACTTTTGTTTTTTTCGTTTTTGAGTTATTATTCAAGTTCATAACTTGAATTCGTCTGCTCTTTGATGTTATTACATAGAATAAAGAGAGAGTTAATTCCAACTTACAGCCAATAGCCAGCAACAACTTTTCGAACTCGTGAATATTTCTGAACGATTGGTGTCTAGCGCTGTTAGCATTTTACCGAAAGCAACGCTTGCATTCAGCGCATGGTAATGTTGCTATTGGAGTTTTTTACATAGACACAGATATGGGCCGACAAACGCACATATGCACCGACCGACAATGCGTCAGACAAATAGGCCATTGTAACACCTTGCAGTAACGGCAACTTATTCGAGTTGTTCACGAACGAATTACTAGAAAGCTACTGAAGCACTGGCTTAGCATACCCTAGCAACTATTAGTCACCAAGGGCACGTAATCAGGCAAACAGAGACGGACACGGACACGGGCACGTAAAAGTCTCAGCAATAGTTCGGCAATTAGGATTTCGTAAGTAGCCTGTGTAAAATGTCAACGATCTAGTGGAGCTGTCCCACTTTTATTACGTCAGATGACTGATCCCAAAAAAGCGTTTAGCGAGAAATGCAGGACTGCCTTCCTGCGCTGGCCTGTTGCGTCTTCCTGTTCCGTTTCCCTATTTCATTGTTCCGAGCGACGGCAACTGCAGCTGCTACTGTTGTTGCTATTGTTCCAGTTCAAACGCACCCGTGGCCAGCCAATCCGTAGCGAGGACAGACAACAAAGCTATCGTGGCTCACAGAGTTTTGAGCAAGCAGAACTCACACAGTGCACCCAATTACAGGGGTTTGTCAAAACTACCATCGCTGCTGGCGCCGACCATGTGGATAAACAGGCAAAAGGACGATTACGGCCACCAGATCAAAGGTGACCGAGAGATGGCGACGCCGACAGCGACTTATACTGCAGCGTCCGGTTGGCTGTTTTTAAGATGCAACTCACATACACACACACACACACACATATATATATATACGTACATATAGGCCGCCGTAGGTGGTGATAGTGATGGATACGCCGTTGAGTGGGTGAGTGTCTGTGTGCATGTATCTGCGTGGACATCCCTCCATCCGAGTCGGACAAACGGCTATACGTTATGTTTCGTCTGTTTCCTCTACTGATAGAGCGAAATGGTACAGCGCAGCAGGAAATATTTCGAATGAAGCAAAATTACGACCCGCGTAAGATATTATTTTCCGTAGTAGCAATAGAGCAGGCGACCGCAGCGATAGCGGATCAAAAATCTACATATGCCCATCATCCACTGATAAAATTGGTGGCGCACGAGCCAAGGCAAAAGCTGTCCCACCGCGTGCAGGTCTATGCGCCCTATGAAATGAAAGTTCTCAAGGGTACCTAGAGCGCTTCGTTTTAGCTGAAAACGGTCCTATGGAACGAAATTTCTAGCCTCGACAACAGGCTATTAGCTTATAATTGTTTTCAAACAATACGACTGTACAGCACCAATTGACATAAATGCAACCCTTCAAAGCTGTCATTTGAACTTTGTTCTCTATCTTATCTGACAAACAGGAGAGAAATTGCGGATGCGTTTTCCCTTTCTACGAACGAAAAAGGCATCCGTGTTTATCTTGTGTGCAGCAAAGTAAGATCCGTATTTGATTCTGTGTGTGAACGCTTTTGTACACAATAGGAGATTCCACCAGCACAAAGCTCCCGTGTCTTCTGTCTGCTGATTTATTTCTCTACTACAGGAAGAGATAATGCAGGTGCGCCAACAGGAACAAGTCTCTTCTTTTTGTTTGGAGAAAGAATACGTTTGCTTTACTTGTTTCCAGCGAACGCTGACCCATATTTCCAGTGGCAATAAAAGTGGATCGTAAAATAGTGCACTGCCGTATTTTTTTCGAAACGACAAACATGGCGACCTTTTTCGAAACAGTGGCAGCGATCTTGGCCAAGCTTGCGTATCGGTTATTTCTATATATAGCGCGTCATTGCAAAGAACTCTACCAAAGTAACTATTGGTAGCTCCAACTTGTTTGTGCAATCAACGAATTCCAATGTGATCAACGATCCGATCATGCAAAATTTAATAGAAGGACTCAACGTTTTTGAGACGTGTTAACTAATAGTTAACTTGCCATTAAATAAGCATCTAAATTGGCTTCTTTGCCGTTTCATTTAAAAACAATATGACATCAAAAGGACATCTACTAGTGGAAGACTATCTTGCTCGCTGCAGTACATAGATATTGATAGCTTACACGGAAGTGCGAGCAACTACAAGAAGAAGTTCTGCCTCAAGAATTGTGTTTCGGAATTTTTGATAGGTGTAGAAGCTTAGATGGGCTAACGGCAAAGGTTGCCAGCATCAGCTGATAAATGTACGTTTTCTAAGAAAAATGGCCTTTGATATATAGAACCGTAGAGACGGGTAATTACACACGAATCCTTCCCAGCGACTTGAACACAATCAAAACAGATTGTACTGGTCATCGGAGTCGCAGCTAAACTTGATTTGGTTGAAGAAATGATACAATTTTACTATACCCCCAACGTTTTTCTTCAGTTGTTGACAAACATGTGTGCGCTGACGAACATAGGAACGAAGCTCCGTTTGTCTAGAGAATAGTTTTGCCGCGAGATTTACACGACTTTGATATGGAATTTTTCTATTTGACACCAGTTTCACCATATAACAAACAGGTTAACGAGAAATATCACTTTGGACAAATACAGCCCGATGAAATTTAAGGAAGAATTTTGTTTCAACCACCTTTTCTGACTCCAGCCAAGTCTCAATTGACAGGTAATTAATATATATATATATATATATATATAGAAACTAACAGTAGGAAACATCTTTACCCCATTCGGCTTGATTATGAAAAGCTTACGTAGTCGCATATACTGCTACCAGTTAATTTAACTAATCACTTTCAACTAGCAACACAAAATCCAAGCCATTTTTATTCATTTGACTATGTTATATTCTTCTGGCGTGATCTTCCTACTGAATCCTATTCCACTAACCTTGTCCATATGTTGATAGTTAAGTGAAACAATAAGCTTATCTTCAGCCACGTCTGTTGGTTGACTATAAATAATAATAATAATAAAAATGCTCTTATCGTGACTACGAGGCGCTTTGCTTGGTAAGTTATTTAGTTACTTTTCCTTCGCCTCGATTACGGCACTTCTATACGACGACCGATTTGCCGGCACAACGGCGTTTATGTCTATCACCGAACGCTTTCAAGTCCGTCATTTACCATCACTGCACCGACTGAGCGCGTCATGTGTGTGTCCATGTTTGTGTATCCTAAGCGTTACAAATACAGCCTTGTATCACTGGCGTTTTTTTCAAACAGCAATACGTATATCGGAAGGAAACAAAAGCTTACATCTCGACATCAATGCATCATTCGCATATCATCTCTATGAGCTCCCTGTTTCTAGTACGATGGTAATTCGATCATTAAAAAGATAGACGAGGCAAATTCAAAAACGTTTGCTTGACCCAGCGTGCCTAGTGCGCGCGTACAGCCAGCCGACCGACCGATCGACCCACCGACCGATTTTCTTCTTACCGAAATGGTATCGGTAGTAGTGCAGCTGGCAACGACAATGGCGTTGCTATTTTGTATTGATGGTTCGCAAAACAGGAAGAACGAAACGATGTAACACAGAAGAAGGGCCTGGCAAGCGGAAACAACCAACACTTTCGCCGTTCTCGGTAGCTATCGCCGTAATACTATGACGTGTACGTTGCTTCAGTAAGGAAGGCTCGTTTTGTACAGAAAAGTGGACGGGAGAGGGGTAAGGTATCATACCACACTGGGCCGACATACTCTTAGCCATGTTTGCCGGAAAGAACGATACCTCCCTTTATAGGTCTCGTAACCAGAAATCATGCAGGATACAGGGCCAGATAGAATTACGCAGCTGCATAAGTGCTGGACAGTGCATTACGAGATTGCTCGCAATGACCCTCTGATGAATTATGCAGTAGAAATCTGTAATAGTTACGGAGAAACGTCTGCTTAGGTCTGGTGTGCATCATACATAGTTGTATGAAAAGGTAGCGTTAGTCAGAATTAGATTTTTATCGATATCACATACGAAACTTTTTTCTTGTCGTGGAAGAGAGGCTAAGGGGTGTTTCTATAAAACACGCAGTGGAAATACCCAAAATGGTGTCGCGCGAGATAGGAATTTATGACAAACCTTTAGTGAGAATATTGCAAAAATGAAGGGCTCCAGCTTTTGAAAATATGTGTTATTATACTTTATTATTATTATTATGATTCAGCAGACGTCTGTATGTCTCATTTTTTGAGACAAGTCTACGATTTTATTCACGAAGATTTCCGTTTCCAGGATATCAGGTGTGACAGTGCTTGCGTACGATTGAGGACAGGTCAAAGACAGAAGCCCTATTTTGCGTTTGGTAGCTTGAAGAATAACGGCAATCTGTCGATTATTAGACCACTATGGCGAAGGGAAGATAATCACGAAACGTAGCCGGGTAGTAAACCAGCGACATGCGGATTCCTCCTCCGTAGAAATAAGTCAATATTCCCTCTCATCTGCCGCAGTTTTCACTCCTTAAGATTACAGATGATGTATATTTCGTCCACACAAGTATATCTCCAACTTCTAAAAATGCAACACTTCAAACCGTTTTTGCAAGAATTGAGTGTTTGCTGATGAATCAACTCGGCTCTGACCGATAAATCTTTATAACTGATTTTTTTCCAGCTAAATTGAGTAAAATACTGTTTAACGGCTTTTGATATTTACCGTCATGTGTTGTTTAGCTTGCATAAGCAGATAGATGTGTAAAGGTCGTTTATTACTGCAACCTTATGTAATCATGCAAGTGGATACAGAAGACATATGCTTTCTAAACACATGCAGTTTTCCATTTCATCCATGAAAACAGCCTTAGGCCACTGATGGAACACTGCGTTCGCGTGTGCATTGGTAGTTCGTTTGTGCCTTGGCCGACGAAGTCACCTGCTCCTAGCACCAATTAAACATTTTCTTCTTCCATCACTAACCAGAACTGAATTTCAGAGAATAGGCAGATAAACTCTCGAATTGTTGCCGTCCGTCTACCATGGGCAACACGCAGACCGTCGTTGTCCGATGACTTTTTAAAACTCATCCAACAATGCAGATATGGCAGATTTCTGCCCAAAATTTCTCCCCTTTTGTCCCTGTTCCAGTTACTTATAATGGCGAACCCCACATTTTAGTATCTACAGAGATCCTCTTTTCCAGTTCCAAACGACCAAAATGCGCAAATTCACCAAGGAAAGGATCACAAAAAAAAGGATCCATGTTCTTCTTAAACTTCTGCAGATTCTTGCGTGAAAAAAGCTCCTTCAATTATGACTTTTGCTCCGTCGATTGTCTATAATCAGTTCGAAATAATACCATTTATATTTAATCGCCTACTGATATTGTTTTTCTCTATGAGGTAATTGGTAGTCTATATCACACCAGCACAAAGGCTTATCTGGGATACGTGTTTTTAATGCATAGTCTCTCGATAAACGAGACCAGAAATTTTGACCTATTTGATACACATGCATAAGTTGCATAAAGTTAAAGCTGTATGAGTGGTAATGCCTTGACTCGCCACCGTTGTATCTGATAGATATATATCAGATTGCGGGTCCCAAGTAATAGTAACGAAGCATTTAGTTTTGGACGTTCAAGACAAATCCTGCCGGTTAGTTTTGCAAGTTATTCTAATCTATCTAAAACCTAATCGAACATTCGAGCCTAAAACCATGCTGCCGACGCAACTCAGGCTCTTGAAGTCGACCTCTCTG